GAAAAATATCGACAAGTCGATGAACATCATCTATAGATATATTCGGTAAATGCTCAAGACATCTTGAGAAATGTAAATCGCCGCTTGATTCGTCCATTTGGTTGACTGTTTTTGGAAAACCCCACGGTAAACAAGCTGCGAATATCACACCGGAAACGAAGCGCCCTACAGGAGTTTCCCCACCGGAAGTAGCATATGCTAAGACGCACATAGTCTATTGCTCAATAAAAAAAAAGAAAAAAGTTAGCAGCATCTGAGTTAAAGGGAGAAAGAAAGGAAGACCATGTGACATCACTCCAGGGCAAGCTGAAAGCAGTCTCACGTGTGGTTACACTTTTCAAAACCCAGTGTGTAGTGCAAAATACGAAAGCTGACCATGGCAACACATCTAATCTGTGGAAACACCGAGTTCACCGAAGGACCTGCTGCTAACTGTAGTATGTCTGATGCTAACTAGATTTATAAAGAGGGGTGTAGTAGGATCAGGGCCATGAGCTATAGACAGGAGAAACAGGGACTACTTTTTATGGATAAAGTTGTTCCATTTGGCATGCACACTGTTCTGTGGATTGTTCAGAGTAACAAAGACCCTTTTTTTAGGAAGAGGAGCTGCGGTTGGATTTTCAAAATGTTATTCAATTAAATGGAAAAAAAAAAAGATTATGTTAACGTGGCATGCCTCTACATACCATCAGGAGAAAGCCAGGACAGTACGTTTATTTAAAGAAGAAACATTTTTTCCAACACTGATTTTCCTGACACAATATGTACTTTGTACTGTGACGTCTTATAGGCCGAGTATAATAAAATGTGTTTGTGTCATTCAGAAGCTTAAAGGTGGTTGCCTTATTTTCCATTTACCTCAATGATTGGATAAGCCCGGGTTTACAGTAATACCACTACTGCAGCCACAAAACTACAAACTCTGAAATAATCCACGTGTAATCCAGTTTATATGCCAGAAAAATATCATCATGGTTCTGCTGTGGAAATGATGCTATTTGGATTTAGCTGACATTTTAATGGTTTGGATTAATGGTGCCCCACCTTATAGCAAGCCATTCAAGCGAGCACACTGCATCACATTTTATTCCACGTGTGCCTGAGACTTGTACCCAAATGAGGATCAAGTATTTAGAGAGAAAATGCAATCTCACCGATTTCCATTTTCACCTCAAACCTGCCGGGTCTCATCAGGGCGTCATCTATCAAGTCAGGCCTGTTGGTCATACCTGGAGAGAAGGAGCGAAGGCAAGATAACTGTGAACCCAGAAGAATTCATGCTGTTAAAGATGCTACACTGCATTAACTAAATTTATTGTTTAATATGGATAAAATGGTTTTCCCAGCTTTCATGGAAATAAAAAAATGATTGTTGTTGACTCATATAGGCCTCTTATGTGTTCGAACGTAAGGGACTCCTGCTCTCCAACCATTACATATATTTTAAAGCTAACAATGGGTTCAGTCATTTCCTCTGATGCTACTTACCAATGACCAAGATGTTGTTAAGCTGCTCCACGCCATCAATCTTGGACAGAAGCTGGTTGACAACAGTGTCGTGCACGCCTGTGCTGCTGGCGCCCGTTCCTCTCTGCTTGCAGATGGCGTCCAGCTCGTCAAAGATAATGATGTGAAGGCCACTGTTAGCGCCCAGCTGAAAGTCCGAATAACTTTGTAAGTTGTGTATTTATTTTTAGCTTAATACAAGTACAGAAAAAAACACCAAGTATTACTTACCCTCTTCTGTTCGTCCTCAGCCTCGGCGAACAGTTTGCGGATGTTAGCCTCAGACTCTCCCACGTACTTGTTCAGGATCTCTGGGCCGTTGACGACCTTCGGCTCGCGGGCGTTGAGCATCTTGCCAATCTGCCTGGCCATCAGCGTTTTGCCACATCCTGGTGGTCCAAACAGCAAGATGCCCTTCACGTGCTTGCAGCCTGGAGGAAGGAAAGTTGACGGCATGATGAATGTTAAAGGGACAGAGGCAGAGAGGAAGAAGGAAAGAAGAAGAATCAGAAAGAAGAAAAGGCAGACGTAAAAAATAAAAGAAAGAGATGGGGCAGGAAAGACAATGGGAATGACACTGAAGATGTCAGATGATGCCAGACATGCTATGAAGTTGTCCAATGTGTTCAGTGCCACAGGGAGGAGACTAGATTCATAAAATGGGCTGTAAAATCAATATAAATGCTTATTTTCTGTGTGTATCATGAATAAAATAAAGGGTATGGTACAGGTACTGTGGCTTTGTTCTTTCACTCTGTTATTGCAGTATATATTATTTTTATTAGCATGGGGAATACACACAGTACATACAACATGCTGAGGTTTTCCCAGCAATGTTTGATCCATAACAAGTCACAAGCTGCTTATGTTGCATTTTTTAGGTCTTGCAAAAACAATAGAAACAGATACATTTTCTCACCATCAGCCCATTAAGGTATGGGGAACATAGGTTAAGATGCAAGAAATACTCCAAGAAAGACAATCACTCTAGCTTAGTACAAATGAGAGAATGGTTCCTCACCCATCTGCTCCACAATGTCAGGGGGAAAGACTCGGGAGGCAAAGGCTCTGCGGAAAATGTCTGAGAATTCCTTGTCCAGACCACCAATTCCCATCTTTTCAAAGTTCCAGTCTGGGTTGATGATTGTCTGTCGTGCCTCCTTGGTCTTTGCCTTGCCTGTTAAAACGTAAAGGGGAACGATGCTCAGATATAAGGAAAAGTCAGTGAGGAAAAAAAGCATTGAAGCTTTTCTTGTGGGCAGAGGTGCTGCATAGAAAATGCTTTTTTCTGAGAATGTGTTCTTGCTGCCATCTTGTGGAGCACTTGTATTTATACCGACATGAATTGTTAGTACAGCTTGAATTTGCCTGTGTTTGCAAAGCTTTTTTTTTTTGTTCATGCTTGCTATGAGCAAACTACAAGACAGAACGTACCGACTAGTGTGAGGGATGAATTCTCAGCCTTCTCAAAAATCACCTGGCTGTTGCCGACCATCAGACCGACGTCGATCTGTCAGAGATCAGAGTTAGGGTCAATACTTCTTATGTGAAAATTGGCACATTATAGGTAGCATAAGGATTCGCTTGTATTTTAGTCACATGCTATAAAATCATGGTTTCACAAACTAGAAGATGTTGCTTTTCAAATCAACTGCTGCCACTAAATTTTAGCCATTTAGTTCTTCTATAAAATGTTTTTCACTGGGGTATGCCACGTAGGTGAGAACTGAGAAAGATATAAATGTGAATGTAACCCCAACTCTACCTATTAGCTTAACATTTAAATCCAACAGGTCATTGTTGACTCCTCTAGAGTTGGGCTTGGGTTAATGTCCACTGTGTTTAAACAATTTTGCCAATAAAGCATGTGGCTTAACTGTCTGAGGTCTAAGTTGTCATCAGTGATGCTATCAGAACATATAATTTTTTTTAGGGGTTTTAGGGTTACAGTTAGGGCTGGGGCTGTTACTGATGCCAATGCAGACCTCACAAGTTTAAAAAGCTATATTTCAATTGGTATTAGGACATCTGCCAGGATAAAATCTTGATGTGTTGTATTTATTTACTTTTCAAATCTGTGGTGATTATTGACACAAATTGCCACCCATTACCCAGAGATCACTCTTCTTCCATTTATCTTTTACATTTTCTGATAATACATCCGTGCCTCTCCTCCCATTAAAACATTAGCTGGGAGAGATCTCCTGAATGTCAGTATTCTGTGATATTCGGTGGAGACAACATAAGAGCGTAAAAGCACAGATACAGACAGATAAATACAGCAATTACAGCACATAAAAGACATCATACAAACAATAAGTGGATTACGCTTCACATGAATCCAAACAGGAAGCCAAAGTCAAAAAAAAAAGAAAGTCCATATTCTTTGTTATGTTGAGTTACATGCTTGATAAAGGTTTAACCCAGGGGTCGGCAAGTGTATTTTATTTATGTTAGTTCTTTTTAACTTGTAGTTCGAAATTGGAAGATTATTGTGATTTTGAAATATAAAAATACAATTATATTCTATTATTTTTTCATTGCTTAAAATAAGCGTCACACTCGCGGAAGCCGGTGTACCCGCCGAAACGCCGTGCATTTACGAGGCTTTCAACCCCAGGTAGGCCAATTATGGATCTTTGGATCCACATTATGTCAGCAGCTCCACCGTGAACTGTTACAAACAAACAGCGCTCACGCCTCACAGACGACAGCTTACAGTCCTGCGTAAACTGACTTCGTACAGCCCCGACCTGCAGACGCTGTGCGCAGAGGTTCAGGAGCAGAAGTCTTATTGTAAACATATCACGGCAGACCCGACGATGTTTGTATGAACACGCTTTTCAGCATCTCTTTATTGACGACTTTTCACACACGGTTGCTGTACGCACACAGCCGGCTGTAGCACACACCAACACAACAGCAGAGAGAGCACAGACTTTCAGGCGGCGAGGCGTGATTGCGGCTGCCGCTCAGGTGCGTCGCCTCCCCTGCAGCGGCGCTGCAGACCACGCCCCGCCACACACATTAACCAGGTAAAATACATATTTAGGCAGAATTTTGCAAATATCTATTTTTCATTTTTTAACTGCATAGTGCTTTTTTCCAGTTAGTTTTAAAGTCAGGTCAAAGCTCCAAAAGCACAAAGGCGATATAAGGGTGGCGACTCAGTTTGTGTTTGCTGGATCATTTTAGTTCAGCTGGGCGTCTTTCCTTTTGTTATATTTCTTTTAGAGTTCAAAATGTGTTAATTACATAAATAAAATTTTCTCTGTAGCACTTCATGGATTTCATAAGCAGCACACTTTAGTTGTTCACACAAAGCATAAAGGTGAAAAACAATATACAGTGTTATCTTCATTTTAGATGTCAGAAAGTATTTGCGGCTCAGTGTTTTCTTTTGTGTGGAAACCGGCTCCAAACGGCTCTTTGGGTGTTAAAGGTTGCTGACCCCTGGTCTAACCATAAGGTAAATTCATGTACCTGCTTTGTGTACCAGCGCAAGCGTTAGCTAACAGGCTTAGCTTAGCGACCATAGCCTATCAGTAACATAGGACAACGTTAACAGTTCAGATCATAGGGAACTTTATTAGTTTCATTTTTGAACTTGCTAGCAATTCTGTGGTTGTGTTACAGGTTCCCACAAACCTGCCCCAGTGATTACATATAGTTTTACCTTCGGGCACTATCAAAACAACTTTGTTCTAGAATTGCTTTTGTTTTTAAAAGATGTACTTTCCAAAAACACATGTAGTAAATGTGCTAAAGGTAGAAGCCATACAGCAGCTCTCTTGTGTCATCGGCAAATTCTTGCTTGCACTGGTGCATTCTTTCAGAGTCATTGTGGTAACATTTATTACAATATATCTTCATATCTAATGGTTTCCTGTCAGAGTCAAATCTTTATCTTTGACTCTCCAGCACCTGTAGCTACACTTTATCTCAAACACATGGAGACGTGATATAGAATCAGCTGGATTCATGCATGTTTTACTTTGCCTCCCTCCCTTTATTCCCAACCAGTCATGACAGATGGCTGCTGCTCTTTGACCCTGGTTCTGCTGAAGGTTTCTTCCAGTTAAAATGGAGTTTTTCCTTTCCACTTTAACCAAGTGCTTGCTCAAAGGGGGTCGTCTGATTGTTAGGGTTGCTTCTGTATTACTGTAGGGTCTTTACCTTGTGGTAAAAAACCCACCTTGACATAACAGCTGTTATGATTCGGTAATATATAAATAAAACTGGCTTGAATATAAACGTCATGTATATTCACTCAGAGTCTTATGACATCAAAAAAGATCCCATTACAAAAACCCTGTTGGTGACAAAGGTCGGGAATGACCGTGTCTCATTTTTTTCCTTTTTTTTGCATTTCCAAATAACAACAGTGGAAGCTCATTTTCCTCCTCAGTCACCTGGTCTATGAGCAGAGCTACTATGGCAGCGGTAAGTTCCAATTTGGGAATAATCACAGGTTTGAGTTTATTAATTGCTTAACTCTCTTGATCTTTGTGTCCCATCCAAGCCTCATTCAAGTTAGTTTTTGTGGGATTAGCTTTAATGTGGATGACAATGAATAATAAATGGAGCTCACATCAAAAGTGAACTCTCCTGGCGAGAGTTTTGTCTCTTAAATTGAATTTAAATTGAAACAGGTTTGTTTCAGTATATCATTGTATGGCTGGAGATCTTTCAACAGGTCGGGCATCCCCATTAAAGTCCAGATACTTGTTCTTCTTTATTATCGTCTCTTTAGGTACTGAAAGGTTAATGGTTCTGCTTTTACTGAGCAAGGTGTTTAACTTGAAATCATTTTTACAACACAGTGTTAATTGTGTGCAAGTTTCAGTTCCTCCCCTTCATCCACTACTTATTTAGGAAGATGCCCAGTTAAAAATGATTTAATGCTTTTCTATTTATTCAATCCACACTGTCTTGTGCACATTGCAGGGAAAAGGTCTGCACACTATAAACAGGAGAGGATATGACACCAGAGCTGCAGCATCTTCTACTTTTCTAACACACAGTTGTGATCGCCACAAGAATCTGAGAAGAATCTGGGTGAGTTGTATGGCTTTGCAATATACTTCAGTCACTATCTTGGGGCAGTAGGTGCAGTGGGTCAGAGTGTTATTGGGGAAGAAAGTCGACCCAATATTGCCCCAGTGTGCGAGTGTGAACAGGTGAATGTGACTTGTAGTTTAAGACATTTTCAAACCAAAAAGTCTAGAAAAAAAAGTAAAAGAATTTAAATGCACTACATTTAATTCAATAACTGCTGTTCTGCAGAAACACTTTAATTTTAAAGCTTTGTTTAGCACTTTGTTTTCTCTCAGTGAGATCCTCTTTCATTTCATGGAGGGTTTGGAATATCAAGCAAATCTTTATGTCCCTAAATAGCCACTCCTGCTGTTACAGTTTCCAGCTCAAGTTGTTACTTCTTAGCTTTTAGAACAGCTTTTTCAGAACGTTTTGGTGTAAGCCTGGCAGCTTGTGCCAGTTATTCAACCTTTGACTTGTTTTGCAGTAGTAATGCAAGACCAGGAAGATTGTGATGGCCTCAGTGAACACAGTGAATCATCACTCTTTATATGTGAAATACAGCTTTGAGGTGTAACATTCTCTCTAATGTGTTTACAAAGGAAACTCAACAATTCATTTAGACACCTTATCCATAAATTCTCGCAGCGCTGTCACTGCGGGGTTTGACTACAGCTTGACGAGATGAAGTCCCACGTCTTTCTTGGAAATAAAGTTAAAAGGGATTTTTTTTGCATAATTTGCAAACAACACAGATTTTTGATTAAAACAACAAACTTTGCACTTCTTCATGCTTTCAGTCTCTGCACAATTCAGTTTGTCTATTCTATTTGTCTAACTATATTTGTGCACACTGCATTGAGATAAAAGTACGTAAAAAAAAATCATCATTCCAAAAACCTCCTTTGTGGAGGAGGAGGTAATGTTATGAGTAGGGCTTCATTTCTCAAATGCAAATCAATTTCAAGCTTCCTCCCTGGAGTTTAATTATGAAAGCGTAATGCGTTAGTCCAGCACAAACAACAAAGTCCCGCAGGTGCCAGGACTGACTCACATCCAGACTCCCGTCCCCACTAAACGAGCCCTAACTGCAGGCACTTCCAGTAACAACCAGGCTGTTACTGCTCAGTTCCTGTTTTTACCAATAAGCGATTTCCAAGCTGTATAACTCAGAGCCTCTACATCAAAACCCTGATTTACTTTACTTTCCCTGGGATAATTTGGCTGATCTTGTTATTGTGACTCAGTACCTTTTGCTGTTTCTTTCCAGTCGCTGGTTCTCCTTTGAGGATGCTGGCATCCATGGCCTCAATATCCTTTACCACCAAGCCAAACAGCTTGTCACAGAAACTAAACACTAGCTGAAAGACAGGAAAGCAGATGATGGTACATCAAAAGTCAAATGTTATGCCTCTGAATATCGATATGTGTGTGAGTCTGACACTTTGAGGCATGGAAATAAAAACCTGCTGGGTGACAGAGAAGGCCTGGTTGTTGAACTGCTGGATGAACTCGGCGGCCATCTTGTCTGAGTCGTAGGGAGAGGAGTCAGTACTCTTCTTCTGCAGGAAGTCGATTTCGATTGTCATGGCGCCAATGCACTGCTTGGACTTGTCAAAATTGTAGTTGGCCACTGATTGGACAAACAAGGCTACAATTACTATCATATTTAGGTTAATGAGTCAAAATCTGCTTTGGATTTTTATAACAAACCCTAAAAAACAATGAATCTAAATGTAAAAGCTGCCGCTGGTCACAGCAGATGTATGTAACACATGAGGATATAAATGAACAACTAATAATAAACCATTACAGAAGAGATTCTAATGGATTTTTTAAATAGGAACAATTTGCAGTATTTGACATGATTAATAGTTTGCAAAGCCCCATCCTAAAGGTAAACTGTCCAATTTTAACTGTAGCAATTAAGCTACATGCTTAGGCATTAAAGCCCAAGTGGCCTGCACAAGAAATTAAAGCAAAGATTTAAAAATGTATTTGTCCTATAATTCTCAAATATGGGAAAAAAGCACAAGAAGTTAATGAAAGTTTTTCATTTATTTTTTCAACATGTGTCACAGTTCTTAACTGTTTATCTTTAACAAGCTAACAGGCCAATGCTACTATATAACTGCCTCAGGGATTTCTAGAACTACATAATAATAATAATAATAATAATAAATGCAAGAATATCTGTAACAATCTAATAGGACAACTGCTATTATGCTAACATTATTAGCTCTGGGAGCTCAAGGAGCTTTTAAAAAAGGACGTTTAACATCACATGCTTCTAATTTCAGCATAAAATACATCTTAAGGAACTGCAGTGCAGACACCACCCTGTCCTGCACTTTATTGTGTGCCTGAGATTACTTACATTACCCGAGAAAAGTCTGCAAAACCAACGTAGTTCATTTGAAAATGCAATATGTAATCTTAGTGCCTAACATATTATATTTGAATAAAATGGAGTTTTACATTAATGACTCGCTGCCTGTTTGTCTTGAAAGGTCAGTATTTATCACAGAAAGTAAACTGTCTTAATTCACGAGTGCATCTATATGCAGCAGCTGAAAGCTTGACAACAGTAACTACAGAGGTTTTGAGTTGGTATTCTTAAACATCAAAATCAGCAATCAGAGAAGCGCATTTCATACCTTCCACCTCCTGACCTATGGAGAGACCAGCCCATTTCCTCTACAGGAGAGAAAAAACCAAGAAGAAAAGCCTGAGCATGTGGCTAACACGTACTTAACAAGTCTGTGAGTTTTTGCATGTGTGTACCTGTGGCAGGCTGAAGGCGATGCTTCCTGCAGCCACAGTGTGGTGGGTCTTGACTGTAAACACAAACTTGTGGTTGGGTGTGGTCTTCACACTCACATGTCTGTGGAGAGAGATTGGATTACAATTTTTATCTTACATTACATGTTTATAGTTATTGCTCAAGTTGAAGCTGAAGGTGTCTTTAAGGTTATTTAGATTTTTTGAGATAGCAACTCTGAGATAGCAAAAGAATGGAGCCCATGGCCTCCAAGCCTGGAGGATCCCAGCTCTGCCACCTCACATGAACTTGTTAACAGTCAGACATTAAACGGTGCTGTTAGGACTGTGGGCTGGTTGGAGCTTCTCTTTCTCTTGCAGCAGGTAGAACTGTGGGCAGAGCTGTATTTCCAGTGCTTGCTCCCGCACTCCTGTTTGTCATTCTCCTTTATCCCTACCGGATATTTAAGTAGTGGCTGTTGCAGCAGTTCTCTACAAGATCATTGTCTCCATTACAGGGATAACTTGGCCAACCTCAGTGTGACTTAATCCTTTTTATTCCCAGTTGATCTTCTTAATGGTTCTTGAACTTCTCACCTTCAAGTGAATTCTTTCTTCACCTGCCCTCTGGAAAAACTGAGCCACTGCAGGATATCTACTTACCTTGGAATCCTTTGGATCAACCTGTCTGCCCACTCTCCACCGCACTCCTTCAAACCTCAGCCTGCTCACCTTCAGTCAACCCTCTCCTGTGCCCCTGGTGCTCAGTTATACAAGCAAGCCTCTATTACGATGACTATTGGCTGACACATTGCATCCCTTCACTCCGTCTATCGCTAAGAGCAATCTGCCCTCTCAGTCTAAACCAGCCAAGCGCTTTTCTCTCGTGTATTGTAAATAAATAAAGGTTGCAGATGCTGAAATATGCAATTATTGTACAGTGGGATGCAAAAGTTTGGGCAACCTTGTTAATAGTCATTATTTTCCTGTATAAATCGTTGGTTGTTACAATAAAAAATGTCAGTTAAATATATCATATAGGAGACACACACAGTGATATTTGAGAAGTGAAATGAAGTTTATTGGATTTACAGAAAGTGTGCAATAATTGTTTAAACAAAATCAGGCAGCTGCATAAATTTGGGCACTGTTGTCATTTTATTGATTCCAAACCCTTTAGGACTGATTATTGGAACTCAAATTGGCTTTGTAACCTCAGTGACCCCTGACCTACATATACAGGTGAATCCAGTAATGAGAAAGAGTAGTTAAGGGAGTCAGTTGTAAGTTTCCCTCCTGTGTGTCAAGTGCAAAATGATGCAAACACACACAAAAAATGAATACAAGGAGGACTGTGAAGAATGCCTCAATGCCACCCAAAAAGACTGAGGTGAGTGTGACGATGAGAGACAAAATTACGCACGAAACAACGCAGCTGTATCTGCTGTGTTTGACACTCGACATTCCCACTGTTGTGGATTTCACTGGCAATAATTACAGATCCCAAAATACAAAGAAAACCTCCCCTAGTTTCATTACGTGGTCAACAGTCATTGACAGAGAAGAACTTGGACCATAAATCAGGGAGCATCACCAGCTCCAGCGCCCTGGCCTTTACCTTCAATGTTCTCACACTTTTAGGTATCTCTTGATAGAGCAGCCTTATTGGTTCACCACACACAACCAACACATGGGAAGAGTCTTTCATGTACTACAGATTCTTCATTGTTTTACTTATGAAGCCCTGCGACAGACTGGCGACCTGTCCAGGGTGTAGCCTGCCTCTCGCCCTAAGACAACTGGGATAGGCTCCGGCCCCCAGCGACCCTGAAAAAGGATAGGGGGAAGCGAATGGATGGATGGATGGACTGCGGATCACATCAGATGTTACCCTTTTTAAAAGCAACACAATGAACTAGATGTGTAGATTTTAACCTTCTGAGTTCTGAGTCATCACAGGGTTAGAATTCACACCTATGATAACCTCAGAAGCTCCAGGATAGCCCCAAAGTGAAGACCTGTACAGGATGTGACCCACCTCTTGCCCCATGGCAGACAACAGAATCTTCAGTTTGACCTGAGTGCAGATTTTCATCAGATTCCTGCAGCTTTACTTATCATTGTTCCATAATAAAGTGAAATGATAATCATCCGCTGCAAGTCACTTGCTGTCGTCTCCAGGATGAATAATGGGTGATAAAGTGGGCGGTCAGGTGGGTATTTGGAAAACTGATTGGAGAGATGCCCGGGTGTGTGCTCAGATTGATAAATGCGACGGTGATTAGGTAATAGGAAGTACTCACTGTCCTGACTGCAGATCCTTCTCACTCACCACGGCACAGTTAGTCAGCGACAGCTCGTCTGTCGGGCATCGTGCCGCTTGCATGGTCTGCAGAGAGAAAGATAGCAGAGGAAGGACAGAGATGCAAAGAACCATAATTGTTTGAGAGATACTGGGAATGACCACACACATTTTATTCCAGTACACTTTTTTATATTCTTTTAACTTGGGATTGTTATAAGAATTTCCTCCTAGCGGGCACTGAGCCTGTGAAATGTCATGTAAGGAGGAAAAATAAACACAATGTATTATAAACTGAATTTTTGAAATATGGGACACTGCCGTGATATTTTTCTATTCAGTTGTAACATTACTGACATGATAGCTCAAGTAGATGCATTCCACCTGTTAGAAACGAGGTGGTCCAACCTGAGATACCCACTATTAGATACACAAACAAACTTTATTTGTCACGTACACAATCATACAGAGTACAACATGTAGTGAAATGCTTGTGTCCAAGCTGAAGACCTAGCTGCGCCATTCCAGGGCTTGGTTTTTTTAGCATGGGGGATCTAGCCAGGACCCTTACTGGATACCAGGTGGGAATTGAACATGCGATTACCACTCCAAAAGGTGTGTAGTCTTACCACTACACTATCCAGCTGCTGAGACACCGTGCTAATACCAGGTCGGACACCCCCTTTGCCTTCAGAACTACCTTAATTCTTCATGGCACAAATTCAAACATCCCTCAGAGATTTCGGTGCAACATTCTCAGATGATTTGAGCTTTTTGACGTGGGACATTATCCTGCTGGAAGACGATGGGTCCACTCTTTTCATAAAGGGGTGGACGTGGTCAGCAACAATACTCGGGTAGACTGTAGTGTTTAACTGATGCTTATTTGGTCCTAAGGGGCCCAAAGCCCCCACATCATTACAGCCTGAACTGTTGGTGCAAACCAGGATGGATGGATCCTTGTATTCACATGTTTACATGTTTCTGAATTCCCCATCTGAACATAACAGCAGAAATCGAGACTCATCAGATCATTTTCTATTGTCCAGTTGTGAGCCTGTGTGAACTGCAGCTTCATTTTCATCTTCTTGGCTGACGGGAGTGAGGAGGAGACAGAGTATAGGGAACTGTTGGGCCACACTGTGCAGTGGGGTGGTACCTCCTCCAAAATGTGGCAGAGACAAAGGAAATGGTGATAACTTTTAGGACAAAGTGAACACATTTCCATTCTGGGAGAAGACGTAGCATTAATGGAGAGCTACAGATACATGAGCATTCACCTCAACAAATGACCATCTTCGTAGGAAGAGATAGCTGGTGTTGCAATGCATCTGACTTCTCACATTTCACCACAGACATCATTTAAATGTCACAGCCTACCTGAGTGTTGTTGCTGACCATGTCAATTTCTTTCTGACTTCAGTATACCCATTTTCTGATGGATGCTTCCAGCTGGACAACACACCTTCCCACAAAGCTCCAATCATCTCAAACTACTTCTCACTCAAACAGTGAATTCGAGCCTCTACAGTTATGAAATCCCAATATTCTGTAGAACACCTTCAGGATGTGGAAGAATGAGAAATTTTGATTTGCAACCAACAAATGAGCACACACTTTTCCTTTTGTCTCATTTTTCCTCACAATATTCATGACAGCCAGTCTCATCATCGTCTAATGGTGTCCTGCTGCTTTACATTCAGTCCATGTCAAATCTCAACCAACCTTCCAACTCAAGAGAGGAATTTTCTGAGTATGAATCCCTTCTTTCAGTTCATCCACTGTTCCACTGACACAGCAGCGAACACACTGACACACTCTCATTTGAACACAAATTGAAATCCTTTGGAGAACAACCACGTCTGCCACACTGAACAAAAGTAGGCAGATAGAGAAATTCCATTGCACATTGCTGCAGCATGACCACATGAAGTGGTAGCCATGGTTACTGCATTAAGTGACGACGGAGAGCCTCTGGTGATAAATGAGTATTGCTTTTCTGTAGGGTGGGGTTTTAATAATCGATTCATCGATTAAAATCGATTCTGGCTTGGATAACGTGATATCGATTCATTAAAATCCTGAATCGATTTTTTTATATATAAATGTATTTTGCCCAAAATTCCAGAATCTCAGGTGAAACGTCACAAAATTTCAACAACCACCAAACATTTAAAACAGTAAATGAGAGCAGGAACAGGCTTCTGCACAAAGACGTAAACACAAAGCTCGACCCGCCGACGGATCAGAATCTGTGAGATGGCGCCTTTCTCACCCGACGGCACGGACACGGTCGGGGCTGAAAGCCGACAGCTCGCTGATTCTGATGTTTCGGCAGGTCCGCGCTTTGTGTTACGCCCTTTTTGCGCTGATTCTAAAGCTGTTAGTTTGATCTCTCCAAACAATATTGACCAACCAGCACTTCATGCACAGCTCTCTCTCTCTCTCTCTCTGTACTTCAAGAACAGTTTCCTGTCTAAGAATCTGTTTTCTGCTTTATTCGCTTGCTTGTTACGCACAAGTCTACCGTTGTTCGCAGGCTGTCAGCCGCTGTTTTTTTTTCCTTTTACTTACTTCCGAAAAGAAAACCTAATTTCTGCCGTTCAACAGGCTTCTGAACAAATTTAAACTTTTTAAAATTATACAAAATGCAAAACGCTGTGTCTGTAATAAAACTGCTGTAACTTCAGAGGTAATGTTCATAAGTTGATTAATGGTTTTCTTTCGTTTTTGATGTACTGCAGAATATTTTATAAAATCCCAGAACAGGAAAATCACCTTCATGTTTTTCTGTGTTTTATCTTCAGCTGCTTTGACACAAAAGCATCTGCTGTGATGCTCACACCTTTGATAAAGTCTGGAAAGTGTCAGCTTCCTTATTATAGATACAAAAATATGTAAATGTACTGATCTGAATTATAATATTTCTGACTGTCTGAGGCAAAATTTCCCAGATTCAAATCGAATTGAATTAAATTGAATTGAATCGATTCAGGACCTTGTGAATCGAATCGATTCTAGAAGTCAGTGACGATACCCAGCCCTACTTTTCTGCTATGTGAATCCCTCGGCGGGAGCACAGGCTACAGATCTGCGCTCACTGTGAACACATGCTTTTTGTTTTTACTGAAGCTCTTCATTCTTAGAAGTTTGTGACGTATGCTGAGGAAACTTAGTCCTTTGAAGCAAATATCCCAGTTTCAGTGGTGAGGTCTTATGTTCAGATGTCTATGGGAGCCATATTTTGTGGACAGCAATGGGTACCTGGTACATTTTAAGCTGCAGAAGATTTAAGGAGACACCTTTGTCATCCATCACAACTTGGTGCTTGGATCAATTTTGGTTGCTTTTTGCCAAATGCAGTTAACAAGGAGGCTGACAAATCTGAAAAAGAAAATTCAGGTGGGTGGGTGCTATGCTGCTAGCAACGTAATGTGAGCAGCTGCAGGGACCCAGTGGAGAGAAATGAAACACGAGCGTGACGTGCGCTGGTTTAAGACAGAGCATTTTATTGCATTATTCCCCTTTTCCTTTAATGTAAGAAGTGATATAATCAAGTGGCACAAAGAACATAAGCAATATTAGCATTTCAAAATTTCAAAGACTTTCACTGGCAAATAAATCACATTTATGCACACGGGTACACTGTACTGCCAAACATCTTAAACTCTGGCCACGATTTCAGTCGAATGATTGGTTAACAGCATTTTCCTAAAAAGGGAAAAGTTGAATTAATAATTTACTGTCATAGGAGCATAAATAGTGTCCTCTGGTTACAGGCAGATATGGGCAGTAACGCGTTACAAATAACACTTTACTGTGATCCAATTACTTTTTTCAAGTAATGAGTAAAGCAAGTAAGTAATTTGATTACATTACTTTCTCGTAACCACACTGCATTACTAAACCGTGATTTTGTTTGTGAGAGTGTCTCATGACAATGACGTACGAGTGTGCGATGTCCGTGGCAGCAACAGACGTGTGCAGATCAGCAATGTATCAACATTACTTTGAGTTGGATTCTGTAAAAAGTGACAGAAACATCAGCGTCTGCTTTACACTCTGCGTGGAAAGAAACCTTCTTTCTACAGCGAAAAATGAAACTTCAAATCTGAGCAAGCACCACGCTGCCACAGGAAGGTGAAATTCACAGAGAAACCCCCGCTGTGATGACCGCTGCTGCACCGGGCAAACCTCCACCAGCCCCACTCCTGCTAAACAGGTGAAAATAGATTTAAAGTGACAGGACTCAGAGCTGCTGAATCTTTAATTTTATTTATTTTATTATTTATTTATTTTTATTTATTTATTTTATGTTTTACTTGCATCTATTTCAAAGAGGGAGTGTAAACACAAAAACATTATTTTATTTTTTATGCTGGAATATGCACAAAATAGGGTTAAATGTTAAACAAATTTCTTCAAGTCAAAGACAGCTGCATATAATTTCATTTTTGCTTGATGCAATGTGCATAAAGTTAAAAGATTAAAACTAATAAAACATAAAGAAAGACTTTTTCATTTGATTACATTTTATGTGATGCAGAGAAAATAAAATTGGGCTGAAAGGTCTATTGTTTTTTAATGTATTCAGGTTGTATATCATGTTTTTTAAAGTAACTAAATAATTAAGTAACTCATTTTGAAAATAAGTAATCAGTAAAGTATAACTTTCTTGGAGAAGTAATCAGTAATTAGTAACTAATTGCTATTTTTGATGTATGTGAAATTTGAGACTTGACCAATCAAAGACTGGGGCCACAGTGCCTATAGCTGTCTATGAGTACACCAGGACTTTGGTCTCAGTGGATGGACATAAGAGTACACTGTAAACCCGAATGTTCAAAGTAATTAAACAGATTAAGTAGTGTATACTCAAAGTCTTTAAAAAGTTCTGTTAACTTAAATATGTCAAGTTCGTATAACATGTTCTTCTTTTTGAGTAAATGAAACTAATAATATTTGATTGAATTTAACTATTTCTATATTAAGTA